GTCGGCCTGGCCATTGGAGAAGGAGGAGGATGATGAGGAGGAGGAGGAGGAGGATCGAGGAAGCGGAGGATCGAGGAGAGGCGAAGATGAGGATGATGATGAGGAGGAGGAGGAGAAGGAGGAGGGGGAGGAGGGGGAGAGGAATACATCCCCAGGCCGCCAGTTTTTTCCTCTTGCACGGGAACGCATGGATCCACCGCCCCTGTGCTGAAGGGCAGAGGGGGTGTAAACCTTTTTTCCTCTTGCATAAGAACGCATGGATCCATTTGGATCCAATTACGTGTGTGCGACAGTCACGTGGATCCAATTTCCGTGTCTTCTGGATCTATTGTTTTGGCGTGGAATTTTCGTGGATTTAATTCTTATGCTGGAATGCATTTATAATCGTAATAATTAATACAGGGACCCAAGGGGAAATGGATCCATGGAGCCTTGGACCTCCAGCCCAAGCTATGTTTCTACGGGGGAGGGGTTTCCCTACCGAGAGACACAACACATAGGGACGAGTAAGGAAACACAAACCAGGGCCGGCGAAGAGGAAGATGAGGGAGGAAGGACGGAGAGGAGGGAAAGGAGGACGACGAGGAAGAAGAGGAGAGACGGGAAAGAGGAGGAGGAGGAGGGCAAACGAAGAGTCAGGAGGAGGGGAGGAGGAGAGCGGAGGAAGGAGGAGGAGGAGGAGGGAGGAGGGAAGTGGAAGGGAGGCGGGAGAGGAGGAGGGCGGAGGGAAAAGGAGGAGGACGAGTGAGGGTGAGGGAGGCATAAGGAGGGCGGGAGGAGGAAGAGGTAGGATGGACGAGGAGGATGAGGAGGAGGAGGAGGGAGGAGGAGGAGGAGGAGGAGGAGGAGGAGGAGGAGGAAGGAGGAGGGAGGAGGACGAGGAGGGAGGACGGAAAAGGCGGATGCGTGAGGAGGGAGGAGGAGGGCAAACGACCCCGTTGCCCAAGTAGTGAGCTCGAGCGCCACAGCGGGCGTGGCCACCTGTCCGCACCCCTCCCATAACATGTCGTTGCCCGAGCGCCACAGCTGCCCCGGCCAACTCCCGCAGCCTCCATAACATGTTGGTGCTCGAGCGCCACAGCGGGCCTGGCCAACTCCCGCAGCCTCCCATAACATATGCCGCACCCCGCCTCGACGCGAGCGCGATATGATCGTTGCGTCCGCATCCGCTAAAGTCAACGACATTTCGCATCTGTCATCTGGGCCTCAAGTGGAAAATCTTTTGGCCTGTTCAAGTAGTATCGAGCAACGATCATCGAGTATCGTGTTTCGAGGTTCGAGGATGGATGATCAAGGAACGATCATGCGGAGGTTGGCGAGGAGGAGGAGGATCGAGGAAGAGGGGGATCGAGGAGCGTCGATAACGAGGAGGAGGACGAGGAGGAGGATAATGAGGAGGGAAAGGATGACCAGTGTAAACCCAAGACTCATAAACGATATTGCGATAAACCCTCCCTCCATGTTGCTTCGTCAGAGGCCCCTACAATTTTCATTTTCACGAACGGAAGTGTCCCGTTGGAAGACAACCATCTTGAACATCCGGAACTGTGGCAGAACACCATTCTTGGGACTTCAAGGACGCGAATAACCGTGACTGTTGCGCCCTTTTGGTTTTGACGTCGTTCGTGCCAAAACATTTTTTTGGTCGCTAGCCATGAGAATCAAGCTCTTAAAACGGGTGTGCGCGGCGCAGGGGCGATATCCACATTTTGAAAGCGGATTGGGCTCCATCCGTAATACTCATTGCATTTTTAAGATGAGTGTGCGCGGCGCGAAGGCGAGAGCCACACCCGGAAAATCACCCGCCCTCCATCCGTGAAGCTGCTGCAAACTTTCAAAACGAATGTGCGCGGCGCTGGGGCGACAACCATATTTTGAAAAGGGAACCGCCTGCAGTCCGTGAAACTCTTGCAATTTGCTAAGACGACTGTGCGCGGCGCTCAGGCGAGAGCTACATTTTGAACATGAGCCGTTCTCCATCCGCGATGTTGTTGCAAACTTTCACGACGAAGTTGTGCGGCGCTAGGGCGAAAACCACATTCTGAAAGCGGACCGCCCTTAAGCGGTAAAGCTCTTGCAAGCTTTAAAACAGTGAATGCGCGCGACGCTGGGGCGACAGCCACGTTTTGAAAACTATGCGCCCTCAGTCTGTGAAGCTAGTTCATGTTTTCAAGACGAATGTGTGCGGCGCTAAGGCGAGAGCCACATTTTGAAAACCACCCGCCCCCCCAGCTGGGAAAGTGGTGCAAAGTTTAAGGCTCATGATCGTTAGAGGTGAGGAAGGCTCAGACGAAACGCCGGGCCCGCCCTTTCGACCGGCCTCGGGGTGGACACGAATGAGCTATTCATTAAGAAGCGGGATGGAGGAGGAGGGGAAAAATGATGAGGAGGAAGAGTTGCTGGAGGAGGAGGAGGAACAGTATCGAGGCTTTCTCCTTCGCCTCGCCACGGCTGGACGCAGCTCGAAAAACTTGTGCGTCTGGACCCCAGGAGGGGTCCAGGGATTCGTTTTGAGCGAATTCTCGTCTGGGAGGAGGGGTTCACTAGAAGGTCCTGTGGGACACCGCTGGAAGTTGCTACTTTAGGGACTCGTTCGGGCCTTGCAGCACTGCCCGCCTTGTGAAGTGTTGCGTCGTCCGGGTCGCTGGCCAAAGTTCCTTTTCGTGGAGTCCCTGTCAGAGGGGCGCCGTCTATTTCTGTTGGGGGGGATTTTCGAACAAGGGGGGGAAACGACAGAAGGCCGCGCTCCGTCGCCTTGCCCCCTTCCTGCGTGCCGCCAGATCAACCCGCGCCTTCTGTGATCCATCGCCCGTCAGTCAGCATCGTCCACTCCGGATTCCATAACAAAGTGTGGGGGGGGTCACATTTGGGGTGGGGTCTGATTTGAGCTGTCTTGGAGGGTTGGGGGGGGGTCTGGGCAAACTGCCGCCCTCTCATGGATGGCCTGGGGGGGTCTAAAGCTTTTCGTCTGGGAGGGTTGTGACGCCCTCCCTTTCTACGAAATCTGGGGTAGCCAATCCCCACCACGCATTTTGGCATGGTATCTCAGCCCCACCAGGTCACCCGCCCAGGTGTGGATGGGGCCCGCGAGACCCGAAGGGAGCAGCATCTATCCCTACGCATATGGGGGGGGGGTCGGTCGGTGGGGCCGAGGCCATGCCAGTGGGGATGGATCGGCTAGACGATGCTCAGCCAGGCTGCCCGAGATCCACTGGGGTGGGCAAGGCAGGGAGTCGACTGGATCGCCGTATGGGGGGGGGCAGTCACGTGTGCCGCCGTCGCCTCCGCCTCGCCGCCGGCCTGTCATAGGGGGCTCCTGCCCAGTGCCGATCGCGACACTTGGAGGTGTGCCTTCTCCAGTGCGCTCCGCGCCCCAGGGTTATGATGTTCCAACATACTTTAGCCTTGGCCACCAGACAGGATTTCGAGCACCAGAAAAAAGTACCGAAACTCGAGGGTTTTCACATGTCGGGCCCTGGGAGGCATTGTTTCGACACTGTTTCGACACTCTTTCGACACATTTCCGGGTGCTCGAAATCATTTCTGGGATGCGGTCCTTAAGTGCGATGGGCGCAGCATAACTCTCGGCGGGCGCCTTGGAGGGTCTCGACCTCCTCTTCCTCGCTGCGAGGCCGCCGGCCAGGTCCTCGCCCCCTCCGCCCTCCTCGAGGGGGGAGGGCGGATCGGGGAGCCGGCTGGCGGTGCGGGTGCTGAGGAGGACGACGAGGAGGGAGAACGAGGAGGAGGAGGGGGAGGAGGAGGAGGACGAGGAGGAGGAGGAGGAGGAGGAGGAGGAGGGAGAACGAGGAGGAGGAGGAGGAGGAGGATCAGGAGGAGGAGGAGGGCCAGTGTAAAGCCGAGACTCATCGACGATGTTGGAATACACCGTCCCTCCGAGCTTCCTCGTCATAGGGCCCGTACAGAGGATCATTTCCACTGAGGGAAGTGCGTCGTTGGGGGGCAACCGTGTGAAAATCCTGACGCGTGCCGAAACACCATTCTCAGGATTTGAACGGCACGAGTCAACTTGACTGTTGCGCCGTGGCAATCCTGAATCGTACCAAAGCGTTATCTCTGGAATGTCAATCATGAGAATTCGTGACAATTGTGCAATTTCTTTAGAGGAGTGCGCGCGGTGCTAAGGCGAGAGCCACATTTTCAAAATGAACTGCCCTTAATCCGTGAAGCTCTTGCAAGTCTTTAGAATGAATGTGCGCGGCGCTGAGGCGAGAGCCACTTTTGAAAACGAACCACCCTCAATTCGTGAAGCTCTTGCAAGCTTTTAAGACGAATGTGCTCGGCGCTAAGGCGAGAGCCACATTTTGAACAAGAGCTGTCCTCAATCAGTGAGACTCCTGCAATTTTTAAGGCGGATGTGTGCTACGGCACGGCGAGAGTCACATGTTGGAAACGGCCCTCCCTCGATCCGTGAAGCTTTTGCACTTTGCACAGACGAGTGTGCGCGGCGCTATTGCGAGAGCCACATTCTGAAGCGACCTGCCCTCCATCTGTGAAGCTGTTGTGAGGCTTATAAATGGTAAGGCCGTCTCGGGCGAAATGCCCAGCCCGCCCTTCCGACGGGCCTCGGGGTGCGACAGGGAGGAGTTATTCCTAAGGGAAAGGAATGGAGGAGGACGAAGACGACGACGATGTCGAGATGATGTTGTTGGTGGTGGTGATGATGATGCTGCTGCTGATGACGATGATGATGATGGTGATTATGATGATGGTGCTGATGATACTGGTAATGATGATGCTGATGATGCTAATGATGATGATGATGATGATGATGATGATGATGATGATGATGATGCGGATGATGCTGATGATGCTTATGATGATGAGGATGATGATGATGATTGTGGTGGTGGTGATGATAATTTTGATGATGATGATGATGGTGATTATGATGATGATAATGCTGATGCCGATGCCGCTGATGAGAATGATGACGATGGCGATGGTGGTGATGATGCTGATTTTCATGATGATGCCGCTGC